GTTAGTTAATATTTTTATTTATAGGGTTAATTTCTTAGAATGATTTTATAAATTAAGAGTTGTTTTAAATAACATACAATGAATGTAATCGAAAGAAAAGAACTTGAATATGAGAAAAAGTTTGTAGTATAATTTTGGGAAAAAATTGCAAAAATGTCATTTTTTATGTGCACATTTGAAAAAATGTCACTTAGGGATGTTTATTTGCAAAATTGCCACTAATTATAGATTTTTAAACCCTATATCTTAAAATTCTAAACACTAAAAAATGTTTTGACCTCTAAACTCCCTAAACCTCATAGCTAAATCCTAATAGAACATAGTTAACCAAAACATAAATAATAAAAAGAAAAAATAATTTTGAATTTGTAAAGATTTTAAAAGTGTGGTATTTTTGTAAAGTGACATTTTTTGAAATTTCTCAAGATAAAACTGTCATTTCAACTCTTAGAATATGATACTTTTCAAAGTGTAACAAATTGGTGTAGATTTCAAATTTCCAATAAAATTTAGGGTATACAAACCAATTTTCCCTAAGCGTAACTCTATCACACAAATACAGATATAGAGACATGACAAATTTTTATTGGCTTGTATACACTAAATTTCATTGGAAATTTGAAATCTACACCAATTTGTTACACTTTGAAAAGTATCATATTTTAAGAGTTGAAATGACAGTTTTTTCTTGAGAAATTTCAAAAATGCCACTTTTCAAGTACCAATTTACGAAAATGCCACACTTTTGAAATCTTTACAAAAATGCCACTTTTTCAAAATTATATTTCTTTATATTATTTATGGTTGGGTTAATTATGTTCTATTAGGGTTTACTTATGAGGATTTAGGGGGGTTTAGGGGTCAAAACATTTTTTAGTGTTTAGAATTTTAAGATATAGGGTTTAAAAATCTATAATTAGTGGCATTTTTGCAAATGAACACCCCTAAATGATATTTTTGCAAAAGTGCACATAAAAAGTGGCATTTTTGTAATTTTTCTTTTTATCTTTACTTAACAAAATTATGTTAGAAAAAGAAAATGATTTGATTTTTCTAATTTTTATTTTAAAATTGATTTATAATATTTTGTAAATATTCTAGATAAGAATTAAGTTAAATTCTAATATAATAATTTAAATAAATCACCAATTGATATTTTTTCTAACAAAATAAAATTATGAATTAATTTTATAATTATAATTTAATTAATTTATATAATAATATGTCAAGTCGATGAACATAAATATTAATTCAATTATTTAAATAAGTAGATAAAGTAAAAAGTCAACCAACCAAAATATAAATCGATAAAAAAAATTAAGTCGATGAATTAAAAAAAAAAGGTCAGTAGTTTAAATAAGTCGATAACTTAAAATATCAATCAAATAAAATATAAGTTAACTGTTTAAAATAAGTCAACGAAACTGAAAATTAAATCGACAAAACTTAAAATTAAGTCAATAGTTAAATAAGTCGAGAAAGTAAAAAATCAAGCAAAAGATAATATATGACAGTTTAAAGTAAGTCGACGAAACTGAATATTAAGTCAACAAAAATAAAAAAATAATTCAATGGTTAAACAAGTTGACAAAGTAAAAAATCAATCAAACGAAATATAAGTCAACAGTTTAAAATAAGTCGACGAAGCTGAATATTAAGTCGACGAACATAAAAAAAAAATCAATTGTATAAATATATCAACTAAGTAAAAAATCGACCAACCTAAATATAAGTCGACCGTGTAAAATAAGTCAATCTATATTTTTTAATTAAATAAATAATTTAGCTTTTAGATATTAATTTACTGACAAAATATTTTTAAAAATAAAAAGTAAATACAAAACTAAATTTTGAATTATTTAATAACTTGAAATTATTCTTAAGTTATATAGTAAGTTAAATATGTATTAGAGTATTTACATTCTTTTACGTAACAAAAAAATATACTTTTCTAACTTTACAAAATTAAGTGTACTTTGCAAATTTTCATTAAAATTTAGGTACTTCTCAAAATCCTCCTTACACTTAATTAACATTTTGTATATATCTCTAAGTATATGACTC